GAACGGCATATAAAATTAAAAAGCATCCCACTGCACAGTGAGTAGCTGTGACAGATATTTTGCAGAGACTTTGACAATTAATGAGATTATCGAATTTAAAAAAAAAAAAACAAAAAATAATAGAAATTTTTTATTAGATGGGTTCATATATAACGAATCTAAACGACATTTTAATGATCAAAGCGAACTTAAAGTAGTGCGAAATAAAAAAAAAAACGATAAATACATGTATTCAATCGGTTGAAGATATCTGCTTCGTCGATTAAACAAAAGGTTGGTAAAGAAAGAATCAATCTAAATATACAAACTTCAAGCAAAGTACCATTTAGTAACACAGTTTTGTTGCTTAATTGTCTTCAATCTTTTTCTATACTAATATTATGAAGAGGTAAAATTTGTTTGCATGTAAGGGATCCGCTGGTTGGAAAATTCTTTCACTAATAGACAGCTACAATGTTGTTGGGTGCCATATGAGCTTTTTACTTCAAGATCTATTGGCATTATAAGGCATCGCTGTTTGCTCACATTGGATCGAGCATTTTCCTCATAGTACTTAAATATTATGTTCTTTATTTTTAATCCTTTCCCCTCTGCACTGGCTACATAACTTTAAATTATAATTTCTTCTTTAAAAAGCTGCATTAATTTTTACATTAAGTAATTAGATCATCAAACTAATACCCTCAAAGAGAAAAAATATGAAAACATACTTACTGGAAATGGAAGCTTTTGAGTTTTTATTTAGTAATTTTTTTAATATTCCAGATTTTTCCGAAGCCATAGTAAGTAATTTCTTATTACCGTAATTGATCTTACCGATACCTTAGTCGTGTCTAATTTATCGTTAATTATAATTTATTAATTAGCTAGTTTATAATAGTAGGTGAATTTTACGATAACATTTTGTAACACTATTAAGGTTTTGTAAAACTAAAAATAGCGCGGTTAATTCCATACTATAAGTATCCAATATTATAATCTTTGGCCGGAGTCACCTTAGTACGACCAGCTTCTCCCTCTAGACCGCATTCAGCGATGAGCAGTTCCAATCGTCGACAACCATGTTGTCCCGGTCCGGCTGGACTCTTTGACACTGCGAAGAATTGAATACTCGCTATGTGTTTTCTATCGCCTATAGCACGGGGAGTGTTTTGAGCAATTATTAAGATTGTTCCCTGTCGTATATTTTCGCCTTCAACTGACGTGAAATTTTTTTCGTTCTTTAAAATATTTTTTTTCTTTAATTATTATATGATGTTCTGCAGTCAACAACTGTTCGTTTTCCGCGAAACTTTCTGCCTCGAACAGCAAATGGAACTAGAGTTTAAAATGATCTTTCGCCTGCTGTATTTACGAACCGATACGGCTTACAAACCTTCAAGAAAAACGTGTATTCCATCTTAAAAGCATGGCAGTACATCTGTGACTCCTCTGGTGTTACGGCGAGTGTCCATAGACGGTGCTGATCACTTGCCATCAAGTAACATGCCTACCCGTTTGCCTCCTATTAAATTAAATAAAAAGAAATCTCGAAGACTTGTATTTTAATGTGTTTGCGGCGTCGAAACTACAAAATTGAATAAAAAATTACCTTAAAATATAAAAATTTAAGATAATGCTAAGAAGCGCTGAAAATAACTTGGTAGTTTATTTAAGTTTTGTGATTGACTGACTGTGCCACTTATTATGTGGAGTTAGTTTCTAATGGGTGAGCAACGACGTCCGTGCCGTGCACTATCTAGGAAAAATAGAAAAAGGAGAGCTCAATTTTCATGGTTTTATAAATGAACCTGCCATAATGGTACCTCGTTTCACCCCAGAAGTCGGTTAACCTGATTTCGTTTGTTATTTGATAATCTAAAACAAGCGGGACATCCGTGCCGAACTACTAGGTAGGTAGTAATAAATTACAACTCATAAATTACCTGGTTTGAATTCCAACTATTTTTAAATCTTTTTCAATCCTGGTTAACTAACGAAGTTCATGACGATCCATAGGAGTCAGAACACAGCAGTAAATTCAACGGCTTGCTCTTAAATTTTAGCTTATTTCTTTCAATTTGTGTCAATACAGGAATGTAGTTAGTTATTCCATTTGGTTGCATACTAAATCATTCTGGCGACAAGTATTCAAATTAGCCTAAGCCCACAATTCGAATTCTTAGTATTCGATACCTATAGCAATAATTCGTAGTCTTGTACACCTAGACACAAAATCCCTGAGACAGACAAAACTAATCATTAGGTTAAATATAATGACGTGTTAATGGCCTGTACCATTGGTAACTATGTATTGTATTAGATTCTGGGCGGTATTTAGTAGTGTTTCTCCCCAAAGCCAAAGCAAAGCACGTTAAACCACGATTTCCTCTTGTACTTGATCTCTCCGGTCGTGTGGGATTGCAGTTATATCGGATTATGAGAACGAGGGATAGCATAACGTTGTTTTGTGCGCTGTTGCCTTCTATATACAAAACAAACACAATGAATCGAACAGAATTATTTTATTTTATCTGTATACCTTTAAAATATCACTACGGTTAAACAACAACATATAACAACCGCGTGAATTTGTGCAAAATTTTTAACACATATAGACAATTTAGTGGGTAGACTTAGGGATGAAAATAGCAGCATGGTTTCGTGGTTCATAACCATAACATACCATATACCTATAGTGCATTCATCTAAAGCGGTTTAGGTTAAGAGTAAAAAACGTGAGCGGTCTAAGACTAAATCGAAGTTAAAATAAAGAAAATTCGGACTAAAATCGCAACAATATTGAGTACGGAGACGTGATTGCCTGAAAATGTTGAAGCCACCGCTGCTCCCTCGACTCTATTCTGGGGTGAACTCAATCCATTATCATTTGACTTGTGTACTCGCTATATGATTATTCATGGTCAAAATATGGGACACCGATTTCTGCCTACACTGTACTGCATTTTCCCGCGCAAATTCGCCTCGGCCCTTTTTTATCTAGTGTCGAACTCCATATGATTTTATTTATTTGTTATTAGATTCAAATAGGTTCAATATCCAGTTAGATTTGCTTCTGGTTGTTTAGGTATAGGTATGCCATCTTCTACTAACAAAAAATTGCTATTTTTGAAACATTATTATAAATCCGTACCCGTGGTAAAGACTCAAATTAATCGGATTACTTATTTTATACAAAAAAAATCGACTTAGTTTTAAGAAATAATTGTCTAAGTGACAATTAGAAAAATAATCGGTTGAAATGAAAAACATAGTTAATATCCAACAAACATTTAGTTACTTACGCTTCTAGGGCAAGTCTTAGGCGGTACGCTTATACCCTGTTCAACTCTTTAAACCATTGTATTACGTGCAATGACTTCTTTAAAAGTATATGTTTATTTCATAATTAAGTGAAGAAATGTTGTATATGACTCGTATCTTTATAATAATACCACCCTCATCAGTATTATCTGAATAGTCTAAATAGTTTAAAGCGATGCCGCGTGGTTTTGGTAAAGTATTCCAGCTGGATTCGGTCCACTTTTGGACGGAACTCGATGTTCGATAGTCGCATTTAATCAGTGCCAGCTAGTTTAGGAATATCGGAAATCGTCATTCCACATTGTTGGAAGATACCTAAGCGTATACTTCGTTATTTAGGTCCCAGATGTGGTCTCCACAAAAGAACATGATACCACAACGGTCATCCGTTCTCCAACAAATGAGAGCGGCCCATTGCCATTTCAGCTTGCTAACAATACTGGTGACAGTATGCTAAGGATATAAGGTTTTAATTTACGAACTGTTAAAAAATGCCTCCCTCACCCACCCCATCGAGAACTTAGACTCAAATGCGCGTTGTTTGGTAATTGAGAAAGAATTGGTTCGAAAAAAGCTTAAAAAAAACCACCTGAAAAGAGATAACGGTAATCTTTGTGATCCATTAATCTGGATGTAGAAAAACACTAGTCACCTTGCGCACTTTTGATTTCGTACGAATCCTATTGCACCGGCGCCGGTGGCGAAGCGGCCCGTTCTAAATGACTACTCGTTAGAGAGGCCACAATCGCACGACTTCTTATTTGAAGGCGTACTTACTCAAGCGTCAGCGAGTAAAAAAACTTGTTCATTGAATACTGCAGAAAAAGCTTACGCCTTTGGAAGCATGAAACTTTTGTATATGGATAAGGTAAATATTTTGTAAGAAGGATTATCTATTTGTATTGAGTGACTTTTTACACATCCTGAACTCGAACGTCTAATTATTTTTGATAGCGTAGTTATTGTAAAACGAAGTCACTTTTTTCTTCTTGGTAATAAAAAGAAAAGCTGTAAACCATTCGACGATTTATGAGTAATCTGGTGGCTATGCTAGCTATGTATTTATCAATTGAACAAGTTTCGGAAATGGACGCGTGACTGTTGACACGCCTTCACAGGTCGGTGCCGCGTCGCTCTGAGTCGCTAGACACTTTTCTCCTTACCTTGACACCTAAAGATTCATAAACAATTTAAAGCATTCGTTATGATTCCATCATTCCTGAAATTTGCCTTTTCAAATCCTGGTGAGTTTAGTTGGATTTTTAAAAAGTCCTGTTATTGTTTTGACATTAACCAGAGTAGTAAATTGACAGATGGGGAGTGTTGTGATTGTGCTTTACTACTATAATATACTGTAGTGCACTAGCGAAATGAAGACGTGCCCGTTGCTTCCGGGCAGCACGGTGTGGAACATCGAGACTCGGTGTTTATGAACGTAAGCAATGTTGGTGTTGGTGTAAGTGGTAGTGTGTCACGCTGGACGTGGGTCTCTGCGCGTCGTGTCGTGTTGCGGTACAGTGAGAGTGGCATGGCAGCAACATCGTGTCGCGGTTAGGGCGAGCGCGGTCGATGAGCCCGACGCAGAGGGCAGCACGGAGCCGCCGCGGGGGGCGCTCCCGCGGCCCCCGCGCCCTTTTCACTACCCCGTCTGCTTGCGCACTCTGTATAGCCGCGCCGCGCGCTCACTAATGCGTCATATCGCCATCGAAGCTAACGCGCTTTCTGCCGCTCTATAACTATAGTTCGCGCGCGCCATGTGAACTTATGTGTTGACTTATGTAGAGACATGAGACGCGTCGGCGTGCTCGGGAAGCTTGATTTTGACTTCATAATGACATTTGCCGTTATGGACAGTGACTTTGGTGCCTGTGAGCTGAGAGACAATATAGTGGTACACGCGGTGGGCGCACGTGCTCTCCTCTGCTTCCAAAAACTGAGTAAGTTTGAGACAGTTTATTTTAAAGTGTGACTGGATTACTGACGTCGATTCGCCGCTAAGTCGGTACAGTGCGCGTTATTTTCGCAGCGCACAACGGACCGCGGCGCCGGCCGCCCGGAATGCGGCCTCCGCCCCACCGCGCGTTGTCGGCGCCGAACGCGCCGCGCGTAGCGTAATAAATAAAGGCGGGGCGCGGCTGCGTGCGCGCGCACCCTCCCGCGCTCTCCTCGCCCTCGGGTCATTGACTCCCGTCCGCCACCGCCGCCGCCGCCGACGCTGCCGAAGACAACAATTTTCGGAAGCGGTATCGCGCTCTTGGCCCGAGCGCGGTTCACCGGCCCGCGGAAACTCCAATGTCAATGCCGATGGATAGGCGTAGTACGTAGTAGCGGACGATCGGTGTCTCGATACGACATTTTCAGCATCGACTTTCACGCTACTATGCAGCTATTGACCCCATGGCTGCACCTGGTCTCTTCACAACACCACCCCTAAACAAACTAACCCCATCCAAATTCTATAGAATAATGTGTTTTACTTTCACATAACCGGTTACATAAATAGCCGCCCGACCGTTTATTTCCTGTGGACTAGTCGATTTGCTTGTTCGTTTCACGTTGCCGAGGAATATTAGATTTTTTTCTCATTTCCCTGTAGATAAGCATTTGGCCCGACTTCTTGTTTTTGTTGTGTTGAAGCCGCATCATGTTGTCTCTTTCTCTCATACGTTTTTAATGTAGGTTGGTGGTACCTATTTGCTGTCGTTTGATTGTTAATAGTAGCTAGCTAACCTATTATCTAACTTGATACTGCCGAATTTTATATTTTAATTTGGATTTAGAAGTCAGATCGATAATATCCGTCATTATAATGCCTAATAATTAAATAATTAAAAATAATTTTAGGACATATACCAAGAGCACAAAGCCAAAATATTTTTCAGTTTAACGTACAATAATACACTGATAATCACCGACAGACTCCGTTATTTTATCAGCATTGGAAGTTTCGTGGAACGCTAAAAATAAATCTTGAACTTCCCGGTTGAATGGCGTCGCCGGCGCGGCAGAGCGCGGGGAGTGGCAGGCAGCCATTGCCCTCGCCTGGTTTGTTTACAACTTAGGCTTGAGGATCGACGTGGTCCTATTTGCACCCTGTGCTTTTTACCATAGGGTGCATATTCGTCCGTGATGAGCGGCGAGTGTGCGACCCCTGCGCCCGCGCCATCTGCGTGCACGCACACGATTAAAATAAACTGCCAACGATAGATAGCTAGAGCGTAAAAAGGAGCGTCGGACCCGTCGCCAGGTGCAACGCTACCCTCGTTTGCAGTTTACAAAGGTGCGCCTAGTGTTAGGTCAGTTATTACCACGAGTTTTGCGGCCGAAGACCCCGTGGCCTCGTGCCAATGACCAGCCCGCCTCGTCGGGCCTCTCGATCCAACGGCTAACTTCGTTAGATCCACGTGTTACTCATTACGGATTTATGGATAGCATTCATAAATTCTAAAAACACGTCCTCTCGTCTGTATCAAGAACTTTAACATTTTATTTTCATTACCTTCCAATTTCTAAGTATGTAACACCGTACGAAAATATTTTTCGATGTAACTAAGTTAATGTTTGAATTACGTTGATTGATTGATTCTGTTTGTTTTCGCGCAACAACAACTCAACATTTCCAAACATGCATAGATTTTGTTACCTCTTGAAATGCTTCGCTTCGTATGCCACTATGCCCTTTTCGCCATGTGTAGCAAAACAAAAACGTATACATGGGGGCGGTTGTGAAGGATCTTCAACAAGTTGCGGGGCAGAGAAAACATGCGCGCGCACCCTCGGGACCTGAGACGGATATATTTATTTATGCCTCTCCTTCTTATGTAAATACAAGCAATGTGTTTAAATAAAACATTATGAACTGCACCAAATAATGTGAATCTAATAAGAAATAAACATTTAACACCAACCGTTACTAGAGAAGTTCCTAATGCGACTTATTTGTTCCTATTGGTACTATTTCTGGGTTACGATTGATTTTCGCCCCACGCCTTATTGTTGATAAGAGATAGAAAGAAAATCGTTACGTAACGTAATATCAAATGTCATCTGGGCTTAGTTTCATGGTCCCTTATCTACGAACAATATTACGGGGACAAGATGACTAAGTTAGTTTATGTATTGCTATTTTTAATTATAATGTTTGCAGCGGTAAGATGTGTAGGATATTGTAAGCGGGACTCATTAGTTGTGCGAACGCAGGCCTCGTGCGAAGTGGAGTGCAACGGAGCCATTGCTGCCGCAACGAGCGAGACACGCAACGCGCGGTATGCGAAGAAAGCTCATCTCAAACACATCGTAACCCAATACATAGTAAATTCATACGCCGACTATATCGATTTTAGTAGTTTTTAATTACAAGTACAGATTTTTACCTGAAAATATTAAGCTAAAGAACCTTACAAAATATTTTCTCATGCCCCTAACTCCTTTTAAGTGTGAAGTCAACAATATTTAATAAACCTGATCTTGACGGGATTTTGCGTTTTTGTGTATTGACCATTACTTGGAAATTAGATTTAGACTCATTTAAACATTTACATGCTATGAATTAATCAAACATTTTATAAATGATAAGTAAATAATTAAGTGAACTGAGAGTATGCTTAAGATAGCAGTCTCAAAATCTTAACAAAAAATATATATGTATATTTACTAGATAGTAATAAAGAAATATGAAAAAAAGAAAAGCAGAACGTATATGCAGACGTTACAATGAGTGCATTAAATCATTGCCATCGTTATGAATCGTCCGCGTGCACTGACTGCACCGCACACTATGCTCAATATTGCGCATAGCACGTTTGGAAAGCTATTATTCACGTCCACGCTTCATTGAGTCACAATGCCCCTCTCCTTGCAGTAGTATTTTAGAGATATGTATCTATAGCAACAACGTACTAGTACATACTTCCTCTTATTAACAAATAGTGCCACCTAGGTTTTTTTTGTGAGGGGAAAATCATCCAATGACTTTTGGATGGTGTGTCAAACTCTTACTGAATAAAAACCCCCCGGTCCTTCTCCCGCTCTGGGCCGAGGCTGCTGTGCCTCATTGCGCTTGCCCCGCAGCCCCGGCTGAACAGTGCAAACTAGGCACTGGCTAGATTAAGACCCAAACCCCCTTATTACAAAACAAGATTTATCTTTAGTCCAGGTTTAAACCATTGAGTCAGGTTTTGAATTTTGAATCTTATTGTCATCTACCTTCAATTCGAAATACAAAAACTGGCTCAATGGTTTAGTCCTAGACTACAGTAAAACCTCGTTTTGTAATAAGGCCGAAAGGGTACTTCACAATATATGCCATGTTAAACTGTTTCCCCACATTCCCCAGGTGGCAATATTGAAACTGTTTACTTTAAAAGTTATAAGTTATAAAAAATTATAAACATCAAAAGTATTAATTAAATCGAATAGCTTGTGAGAACATTTTAGGATAGATTAGACTATTCAGGTTGTTAACGGGACTTAACAAAACCTGTCTCGCAGTCTGTTGCGGTCGTCACACGCTGTTGTTCTAGCATCGAGAAAGTCAGCTGTTAAATAAACAGAACATTTTTATAGTCTTAATTATTGATTTTTAAATTGAGTCCCAGCCACAGCTCCCAGCAGACGCACCATATCGTGTGGTTGATCAAAAATTGATTTTAAAATCAAGATTATTTTTCAACCTTATACCATGGTCTATTGTTAAATGTTTATTTAGTTCCAAATCTTTTGTAAGATACCCGTTTATAATTTTCATACTGGATATATTATATTTTGTAGTCAAATGAACTCGCGGTACGGCGCATACAAATATGATGACTCACTTGGCCAGCTAATCACCGATGCAGTATTTCGTCTGGTGCGTAATTTCACTTTCGAAACTACTCCAGACTACTCTCATTATTTTTACATTAACTTGTAACAAATGTAGACTTATAAAATTGTTATATTGTTATAAATAAGTCGGTTAGTGGGCATTTACTAGTGTCACTTTAAAACGGTCACAATTATTATCGGAGCGACGACCGCTAAGCTGATAGAATTGCAAGCGCTGCAGGATGTGACGTCATCGTTTCGGCAATTAACTGCCTACGTAGTCGTAGACTTAGACTATAGATCTAGATATATCTAACAGAGATCAGAAGGGATGAAGCTCGAACTAAAGTTGCAATCGAAAATAACTGTAGGCTAGTTTTTATTAATACATAACGTTGGCTTTAAGCAATTTGCCATCGAATTAAAACATGTTTCTGTTCTAATAACAAAATCGCATTTTTTCTTAAACAAACCTTTCCTTTTATTCGCCGATTAAAGCCCGGAGCATTTCGTATATGATCCTTAATTGCCTATACGAAGACTTTTACATACTAACACGAATATCTTCCAAATTCAAATCATAGACATATTAGACATGTCTATCGGAAATTGTATGCCACAAAAATAAAACCAAATAATGTCCGAGTCCTTGAATTGTTTATTTAAATGTAGGTGATAAATATGGTAATAAACGTAAAACTCCAAATTTAAGCTTCTGCTCGGTATTATACAGAATTTTTATTTGTACCTTAAATTATACGATATGAACCTACTTAAAGTTTACATAATCATTTATTTATGTTTTCCAAAAGTGATAAAAATGGTTCCTACTATAAAACCACAACTTTTTGAAATCCCTGAACTTCCTAATATATCGGGTTGTTTTTAAGTGAAGTAAGAACGTGTAAGTTGACAATACTGACACTGAGTGGTACACTTGAAATGTCAAGTTACGTGACTTGGAATTGTATGATTGAATTTGAATAAATAACTTTGAATGCGTAACCGGTCATCCGGTGGATCACTGTAGTTTCTAATTTGCAGCCGCTTAGGATGCGAACGACTCATTCGACATTCGGAATATTAAATAACAGCCAATATTATACAATAGAAAATTAATTTTTAGTGTCCAATGTTATCTTAAATGTATTTTGACCTTGAATAAAGTAGGTAGTAAGGAGCCTGGGGTTTGCACTTATAATATTTTCGCTTCGGTCCGGAAATCTGGGGTCTCAAAAAAAGACAATGTCGGTCACGCGACGTGCCGTTACATCAAGTAGAGCGACGCTGCACGCATTTAACATTAACATAGCTAACGTGACCGTGAATACGGCATCTTCGACGTCTAGCCGAAGTAACCGTCGATTTAAAGCGCCCGTTTCACCACCTCCATATCATTCACCTACAATCTTATGCGGTACATAAGTCATTCATATGATGCTCTATATTCAAATTTATCTGATACATAGCGGCTATTCTGACATAGTGAAACAGGCGCTAAATCTACTTTCGGACTACGACACGCGTCAGAGTCCTGTCAGAAGCCAATGATTAATTACTAAATGAATTTGGCTTTTTATAGATACATATAGCAGGTACGTAGCCAGCTTGGTTTAATGAACTAATTCTGTCAATTGAAACGAATGTGTCGAGGTCGCCAACATCCGCTTTGTTAATTAATTAATTGCCTAAAGTAGTAGCTTGACACCTCCCGTGCCCGTTCCCGGCCCGGCCATACACGAGTCACGACACATGTAGATACTCATAGTATACATTTAACGTATAGCAGCTGCAGTCTGCTTATATTGTCTAGGAGTTCAATTAAATTTTATGTATTTTACGGTTAACTTATGATTTATTGAAATATATGTGGCTAGCTTCCTACCGAGCTTTGTAGGAAATTTTCGCCTTATGTCTTAGTTTTAACACCAAGCACTTGAAATTATCATGGAGGCTTTCTTACGCATTCACAGTTTTACCTCCATACCCAGTCATATTTTATTAATTGTTCTTATATTTATAAACTTGCAATAGAACAGAGGCGTGATCGGTTCCCGATTAGAACGCTCAACAGAGCTTCGACATAAAGGGATAACTTTGTTGTTAAAGTCGGCGTCGCTGTGGGGTGAGACAGGGTGAACCTCCCTTTTTTTACTCGGCAGCGCGCAGGTAGTCGCCGCGCCTTTGTTCAAAGTTACCCTAAGCCGATGCCATAAGCGGACTGGAAATTGTGCAATACATTCCTCACTTTATGTGAACACCAAAAATAACATTCGTTTTACTATCAAAAGTTGTATAAAGAGGCCAGATTTTATTAAGGAAAAAACATTTTTTGAATTCATGTCAAACTTTTGTAAAGAATATTTTCGGAGTACATTCCTGTTACCATTCATAAGTATACTTTAATATTACTTAATAGGGATTAAATAAAACGTGTTTGGGGAAAATTTGAATTAGGAGAAACAACCGGAATAAAGCATGTTGTAACAAAAAGGGAAGTGCCAGTAATATTGTAGATTTCGACGTAACCTGGTCGTTTTAATACACTGGGACATTAAAATTCATTCAGGTAAAGACGTCCCGTGGTTTCGGTCGCCTATACGTTATCTGTGGCAGTTCGGTGGCGTCGGTAATAGGGGTGGTTCGCCAAACATATGCCAGACCTGGTACCTACCTCTCGCCACTGTACTCTCAAAATAGAGATGAGTGGTTAGAAATGTCATAAGTTCACCACTTTTGTGTTGTTTGTTATGTTAAACACATGAATTTAAAATTGGTTTTTGTTTGTACACAGGTACTGGCTGAACAAAAAAATGTGCTGAAGGGGACTCGATGTGCCTCTCAGTACTGCGACGCTGACCTGTTAAAATGTCGGGGATTGTTCTGGTGAGTAACGCACGTGACGTCTGCATTGAATGAATTCACATATTTTTGTACCTTAAACAGCGGAAAATAATAATTATTTCAAATACAGTAACGAAAAATATGAGTTTGTTTGTAAACGCATTTAAATGGGGTAAAACATTATTAATGATTACATTACTGTGTCCAACAGCGAAGCAACTAAATTCACAAATTCCACAATCGAAATTATGGGCGAGGCTGCGCTTCGCGGCGGCCGTTGCTTTAGTAAATCTTGGATATCTGCCAACTGAGTTACTACAACGTAGAAGAAGTCGCAGTATGATACCGGTTGTGTTCTCTACAGTATTGTACGTTACATTTTTACAAACGCAATTATAACGGAACAGTAACGTTGGATAAAGGAGCACAGTCTCCGCGCGCGCATGGTCCGAGCACCAGTGTACTGGGTCTTTTTCACCGATGCAACTCTGTATTTTACGAACGCCTTTTGCCCTAAACGTGAAAAACAGGGCTAATAAACTGCCGTGGAATTAATATACCATGACATGTGTAGTGAAATCATAGATACGTGTGATAGATACTTTATGGCTACCGTAACCTTTTTGAAAATTAACGGTGAGTCTCTTATTGATGTATGTATGATGTACATATAGCACAAGTTCGGAAGTGTTTAAAGTTTTTATAATATTAATGTAAAGTCACGTTGAAAAAGTTAGATGGCGCTTCCATTAATTTTCCGTCACACTCCCTGCCTGCCATACTGAACGTGTTAATTTGCGAAATGTCGGAACTCTAATCAACCTCTCGCCCCTCTGGTAATTTTAGGCTAATGGCAAGTAGGTGTCGAAAATTCAGCGATCAATTTCCAGTTTCAGTAACGTGAGGGTAATGTTCTGAGTTAGGGGTAAATTCTCAAATAGCTGCGGTTTAATACAACACACAATCCACATAGCGGCGGAGGGTGACGTACTCTCAGTACGTTCTGCGGTATCGCTGTCATAACAAACATTGTTATTATTGGTTATCGCCAGTGACGTAATATGCTTATTTGAATCATTATTTTGTGGCCGTCAAACAATTGTTTATCGCTATATAGAGTAACGGATTTTAACAATACAGGATATTTTACGTGTAGCGGTTGGCACGTTACGATTGATAAAACAACTGTAAAAAATATTCTATATGTATTCTAATGTTTAACGATAAAAGTCTTGGGCGACCAGTAATCAACAGTAGGTGTTTTGTTAAAAATAGTTCAATTATAATGAGACTGTAACCTGTACGTATCCGCTCAGGTCCTGTGGTTGTTCAGCTCCAAGGTATTTCACAGTGAAGAAATGACGTATAAAGGTCCAGTTGCTGTTCTATTGGACAATATTAAAAAATTCTTAGACGTGCATTGTCTGTGCACGAAAGCAATGAAGTTTTCCTTGGAAATGGAAATAAATATAGAGATATAAAGACCACTAGTTTCTTTCTATTGCACTTAATGTGTGTGTTCTCATTTTGAAATTACAATCTTCTACGAACAATGCCAGTTATATTTGAAAACTTCAAAAATAGTTCTTATATTTTACGAGACTATGTTCTGAGATATACCATGCGGTAAAATATAATTTTATTACGTGTTTTACAAGGAAACTGAGTCTATGGTTACGTAATATAAAATAAATGTATCTGCCTTCTCCAAACCGTGACAAGAATAACGCCGTGTTTATTAGATGCATGTCAGTGTTTGTTTTTAATATTTATACATTATAAACTAATATCAACCACGCAAGTAAATATTTTCGTTGATAAATAATATACCTACCTATCATTGTAATATAAATCGAAAAAGGTCAAACGGGTGAGTGTTAAAATCACTCAATTCAGTTCATTATCGAAATCAAGCAAGCAAGGTCATGATCACTAGTGATGTACAAACTCCCAATCGAATGACTTTCATCGTTAGGCATTATGCGAACCGATGTACAGTATTCGAATGATTTCCTTCTACAGTAGAGAGTTATTTAAATATGTAGTAGAACAAATATGTGGTTAGCGTCGTTATTCTTATCAAACTCTTTGTACAGTTTGTTTTCCATTTTATATCACTAGGTCAAAGATACAATCCGTGCCGCATTTCTGAATGGTAATACAGTACTACTATTTTTTTTAAATCGGATAATAATTAATTACAGCCGTCTTTCGTTAGTCATTTACCCATCTCTAAAGATATAATACATAGGTAATGCGTTCAATAAAGATAACGTGGTTTATTATTATCGTTTTTATTATCTCAAAACTGCGAAAAGATTTTTTGTTTAATTTCGTTTGCATATGTGTTGACATTTTCATCTAACCTCCAGGGAGGAAACGGGATAGAAACGTTTTTGTTAATCAAATTAATAATGATTTTGTAACAATTGTATGTTCAGTCTGTTCGTCTGGTCTATAGGCAAGTCAGGTTTAATGTCTTTCAATGTTGGATTTGGAGTTATGCCAAGAATGGCGCCTCGCACGTCTCTTATCACATGGTACAAATTGTGTGCGGAGACTAGCATGATGCGCCAGACCGCTAATTATACAATACGATGTTTTAGATTTATATTAAATATTACTACTGATAAAGTTCAAAGAAAGGTATCCCACTTTATCATTAGGTATTCCGTGAAATAAATATAAATTAGTCTCCAAACGATTTTGTCACCGTGCCCTATATAAAAGCTAGGTTAACGTCAGCTCTGTAGCTTGATAATTGCATAGAAAGATGAGGTGTCGCGTTTTCGGAGTGCAGTTATAAGTTACTTTATCTAGACTCTTGCCGTTACAGGACCCATAACGAAGCAGTAAGTCATAATTTATCCAATTAGTGCGACTCCTCTTATAGGTTCCTTAATTTGAAGTTGGGACGCCATAGCAATATGATCTCGAGGATTTTATCAGTAATTTTTAAAATAACGAATGTGATCAAAGCAAAATTTTTTGCGTTGATGTAGTCGGTGTTCAAAATAATAAAGTATTTCTTTTGTTAGGTACTTACTGCTACTTGCTCACATGCATTATGTTTAAAGTACAGGCTTGCGAACTATTGACTACATGTAGTTGTATGTAGTTACTGTTTCTTTTTTCTTTATTTAATTTCAATTAAATGTGTATGGTTTACTACAAACGTAACTTAGGGAGTGTATTTAACTATAATCTGTTTAAGTATAATATCTTGTGTTACTGTGCAGTGAGCGCGGATATTGATTTAAAAAGAAAACGAACAATACTTTTGTTCTTGTCTGTAATACAATCTCATAGCGAACGGTATATTGAATAATGACGAGGATACGGATGCAGCCGAGAGTCACATCAGGTTTTACGAGTTTATCTAGTTTCTAGAAACTATATGATAAAATAAAAACGCAATAACGTAGTAAACATATAGTGAGATAATATTTCTTTCAACGGTTCCGATATCAGCTCTGATGCCCTGTGCCGATGATAAATCGACCCCTAATAATCGCGTTGCAATAACAATGCAAAGCCAGCTGCGAACTTGAATGGCGTCGTTGGTTGTAAAAGTTGGGGAAAAAATGCGTGGCGGAGTGGCGTTGAACCCGCGTCGGCAAATGCACCGGGCCGTTAGCTTTATCCGAGGTCAGGACCTGCCTGACCTCGAGAGTATTGTGTCGACTCGTGTCGTGCGCTTTACTAACTAATATATGCACAGCTTCTCAGCTGACTGCTTTACTGTTAACGACTACTAATTTCGGTCGGTTTACATTCCGCTTGTTTTTCTCAGCGAGCTCCGCGCGATGTATATCATCAACGTTATTATAGCGGTTGACTTGACTTGCTCTAGTAATTAGAATGATTACCGTGTCAGCGTATTTGTAGTATGACTGTATAGTTAGGTTAGGTTAGTTTTTATATTACGTCTGAGTCTAACTTCTATCTGCTGTTATGTATGGATTTATGGTACCACTACAACACGTAAGGCTTTCATTCAAACCTAACCCCTTAATTAAACCCTATTTCAGGCGACTGGCCTGGTGTTTGTAAGCCTATTGTTTTACCCTCAAATTCAATAGCGCACAAAATTATCCATTCATAGCAGGCTACGTTCAGTCAATCAGAGTCACTGCAACATGGCCCTCTGTTCTGTAACGTTGCCCGGGACATTGTTTGCTATCAGCCTGTTGCAACTTCGCAGTTTATTGTGTTACTATTTCTCTATGCCTAGAACTCATATGATTCGCCCTGAAGAATTATATTTTATGGTGTATTAGACCAGGTGTTCCTAGTTAACATCGTAACAGTAATAGATCTGTCATCTGTACAACCGACATGTTTTTCATAATTTTTAATAGCTTAATGTTTTTGTTTGTTGGTTATAATAATCATACTATACGTAAGTACATTCATTCAAGAATACGATTTTTAGAAATTACTGGCGAAAGCGTCCCCCACACACGAGGAAAGAAACACGCATGCGCTGTACGATCGATTCGTAAATAACGCCAGCTCTTCCAATTTTCGCGAACACTGTCTTAACCTTCAGGAAATTACAATGAGTATTATCTGTAGGTATGTGTGCACCTACCTACGCATTATATGGGTATACGGAATATAATAATATTGGTATAGCCCTAAAAAAGTTTATATAACTTATTGAATAGATATAGATATGATATGATAGAGAAAGTTCAGATGTTTTAACTATATATTTTTTTTGTATTTACTTATATTACGTCGGTCGATGGTCGTCGAACACGCAGTGGGTTGTACAATAATAACTAAGTGTTAATGTTAGGCTTTCAATTTGCATAGCTCTCTCATATCAACAGGTACGTATTGAAGTATTTGGGGGTGCACACTAAAAATATGAATGGGTGCAGAGCGTGTGAGTCGCACCGCGGGCGAGGGTGTGAGGCGACTAGGCGAGAGCTTGTGGGTGTTAAACCGACTGCGTCCGCACCGCAGGCAGGGGTGACCACCGATAATTAAATCCCATCCGATATTCATTCGCTCATCCCAATGGTCAACTAATCTTCTTAAAACAATTAACAGTCATTATTAGCGTTCAGGGCTTAAAGTATTAAAGTTTATATTTATCAGTGTGTTTATTCAGTTACCACCATTTCTACCAACCTTACCTTATAGTTTAAATGTACTTAATTGTTTGATGGTTTAAATTAATACTTTTCTACCGTAGCTTTGGTTACGTTTTCTAATAGAATTGTATATCAAATTACACACCCATCCTCAGATAGACCGCGAAAACGTTACTTAAGCCAAACGGAGAACGATAAATTCGCAATGGTTCTATGTACAGATATAAAGCTGAGGCACCCTGTAGAATTTTAATATAGAGTCATATTAAAATTCTTCTTTCCACTATTGCTTCCACTAATATCATAAAATACCTCTTATTTGTTGAGCTAGATTTTACGATTTCTGTAAGTCGAATGAGTTATGATGAACTAGCGCAGTTTCCTTTACGGATATTCAATGAACCGATTTATAAGGATAAATCGTCTGAAAACGGCAGACGCAAACTACTCTACTATCTACTACAAAACGACTTTTTTATTTATTGATTCGTATAGACAGACGCTTTTGTCATTTTTTGTATATTTGACTTTGTAATATATTTATTCTAGACATCACCATAAAATTCAATAAGGGGCATGAATTGTATTTGAATTGATAAAACAATATGTAGTTCATTTCAACGTTAAGCGTGTTCACAGCTTCTCATTATACAATTTTGGACGACAACGTTTTCGTGGAATACGTCTAATTTCCATATTTTTCAAGGATAAACTAGATATATTGCACAGATTTGAACAACGCTACAAAGATATGTAATTTTAATGTCTACTGTTTTAAAAGAAAACAATGAGTCCGTTTGTTGCATAAAGCATTTTCTTGTTTTAGGAGAGTGTTACTAAAGGGTAACGTCAATCTCCCCTCATGCCTGCGGCACATTGGGGTCAGTAAGCTAATTTCCCGTTGAAAACAAAAAGACTTTAGGACTCGTGTGACTGTTTGCAATTTGCATACGTTACTGTCAGTGTCGCTCGAAAGTAAGCGCTAACCCTAGCGCTCACGTGGATAACTTGCAGTCGCCCTCTATGAACAGAAAGTATTTACATAAAAGGCTGACACCGTATCTTGAAATAATCTGGATTTTTTCCTCTTTTTCCCTACTATAAAAATTTGAGTAAAATGAAATTGAAAATAACAGTTATTTCTGTTTGTTTGTGCAGGTACAAAGACCAACCAGCAACATGTCATGACAGTCCATGGCATGGGTGACGTACAATCGGCCTTTTCGGTAAGTTTTAATAAAACACTATTATCGACTGTTTTTGTAGTTAGTTGTTTATATTGTAGTTGCTCAAAGCGAACGTTTATGTACTGCTCGTGTTCTATATAAATATCTCTGTGAAAAAGTTTATTATCGTGTATTTATGTAATTATGCTGCTCTGCTGCTCTGCAATTAAATTTAATTGTTATCGATGTTAACTAGTTGGTTTCCTCCATCCTTTTAGAATTGGGATCAAACAATTTCTCTGTTGTTACAGATTTTAAAACGAGAGAAACAGCTGCTTCAGTTTGAAGGAGACATGGCGTGATGCTGGGATCAGGGGAAACAAAATGGCGACCTGACCTTATATATTAAAAGGTAAATTTCAATTTCCCTTCTTTCTTCTTGATTTATTATTTATACCTAGAATAAGAGTATATTTAAGGATATAAATTGCATAGCGATTATTGTGTTCGCAGCGACTTTGTATTGTGCGAAAGCGAAGTTTTTATAGGCTTCACCGCGAAGTGTTATGAATGATGTGTGTGACGTTGCATGGGAACGGTCATGGGAAGATTGTGATTTGAGATCGTCTGGGATGTTCTTACTGCGCGCTATTATGTTGCTTACATTATTTAATGGAGCCTGGGGTCTATCCCCTCGATTCCAAGATACCATTCAATTTAATCTTTTGTAAACTTTTTCTCGTAGGCAAACGTAAATCACTTCTTCATTATTGATTTAATCTATTGAGGCTAACAGAAACGTTGGTAATAGTTTGGTGGGAAAAGACTTATTAAAGAGTATTTCAAAGGTGGCTATTTAATCAAACATATTTTTTTAGACATGATTATATTGAATATTACCTGGCTCTTTTTTAAACTCAAGCCTGCACTGTTGGCGCAGTGTTTGAGCAAATGGCTGCTGTGCAAAGTGTAGGAGGTCTTCGGATCTGCGTGTTATGTGTACATATGTAAAATGATAGGTAAACGCACCCACAACATAGAAGAAAATCCTAGTGTGGTGCAAATGCAACTGAGCAAAATTATCCTCATCATTTAAAAAAAAAAATCAGATAAAATATTGTTAGAATAGTAAAGAACACTTTGAAAAAATATGTCCTTAACACGTCCACCAAGTACAAAATGGCAAGAGCAATGACAGATAAGAATCAGTAACCGTTAGATAAAGTGGGAAATACGCCATGAAATGTATACTATCTTTGCTATCTAACCTTACTTATCGAACCGTCCGTTATAGTGTTCTGTTCGGACTTAAACGCATTACTATCGCAACATGATTGAAAATCGCGCGGGAAATCAAGTTCTTGATCCCTTAAAGTTTTCTTCATACAAATGCATTTGCAGCTTTATTGATAATCGGGTACTTACTACAGTTTCGTGGTCTCGTTGAGCATCTTCCCATATCGTTGGCGTGTTTGTGCGGGTGTGTGAGTGCGTGCGTGATACTACAGTGGATAAGCTAGCGAAAATGTATTGTACTGGAATGAATCATTAGAATGCATTTTATGGTACATTTGACAGCCTTCCCTGGAGGCGCAGTTGGCATCAGGAAGCCGAGCTGGAAAGCTGATGATGGTGGTTTTCTCCAGGTAGGTTCAAATGCATAATTAGCTTTCTCAGCTAACTTTCTTTATATACCTCATACCCATTTTATTGACATGTTGATATCTAATGTACCCATTTTACCATTCATCTTTAAAATGTGCGAATTTTTAGCAGCAGCGATAACATTGTTATGTCACTACCATGCAGAAATATGTACATATGTTTACAACCGCATTTCTAAAAGGTTATTCCTACCGCATTCTTAAAGGCTCGAGTATATTTACATTTATAAAAGTTGCATTCCTTGCATTGTAATATGATATTGTTAATTATTCAGCAGTTAGCGTTTTCATTCAACGTTAGGCGTTATCTTACAATAACAATGTAAACATATACTGGCACGCGACATAATTAGATACTATCAATACAACTAACTTTTAAAGTTCGAATCAGATAAAAACACACTAATTGCACATTTTCCAACAATACCACAATTTAACTTTTATTTATGCAAAAGCCGATACTTGTAACTCTACATCAATTAGGCACAGTGAATGCAGCATGATTTCCCCGTACCTACAAATATTACACCACAAAGCCGCAATTAACTGAAAAGCGCTTCATTTCACGTCAATTCACAGCCGAATATTCCCTTACCCGCCGTATATGCATTCATCCACTCGATCTCAACAGTTTCAATCATTTAGTGTCAACTTCAAAAGGTAGAGTGCCTTTCGTGAAAATTATATTTCCTGCATCACCCATGTTTGCTTTTAAAATACATTTTCTCTGCGTCGTCTGACATTTTGCTATTCTATTTTCATTTCCGATTATGTTTGTGTGTGTCAACATCAAGTTTGTAAGTGCAGCTCATTTCTGTGAATCAGCTGTTTATGAAATGCAAGCTAATGAAAATATTGCAACAGCTTACTCGTGTCTAACTAGAAAGTGCGTCGGAATACATTTCCCGCAATTCGCTACTGCCAGTGGTACTGGTAATAGACTCACTCACGTTAGGTTTTTGACGTAGTACATTATCAGGCATGGATAGTGACATACAGATTGATAGCCGCTGTGTGTTGTATTGTATAACACTAATCTAATTTATAATACCTGAACAATGTGTGTATCTGTTTAATAACATAATTTATCTTGTGTCTATTTTTACGTGGACGTAGTGTAACTTTGCATTTTGCGTCGAAGCGATTGTGGTGTACTGATAAAATAATTGTTCGTATGATGTAGCATCAAGGTGTTTGCAGTGGCATGACGTCTCACTTATCTTTGCAGCTAGCATTACATAATTACTAAATAAATTAAACAAATGTGTCTTCGCCTCATGTAAAAATCATTAAATTGCTTTATTTACACGAATAGTGACGATGCCACTACACTCATAAAGAAATATAATAGTTAGTGAATATATTAAGCCCGATATAAATGCAGAGTTACATGTCTGCTGCAGCAGTTAGCACAGCACATCGATGACTTGGCGGTAGCTCTCTGCTGTGTGAAAGACAGGAGTAGTGAGATGTCCTCGACATCACAAATTCTCACTACCTTGTCTTTCATGCGGATTGAGCACGATTCTACAGACGACGTGAATTCTGCTAGAAGATGCCTACCTCAAGATTCTCCCGTTTCCGCGCCGGTTGTTATAGGTATTTCTTATGAATGTTGACTGTAAAATGCCGACCGTACCGAAAATAGCTTGGCCCAATCAATACCTAAATACAAAACTAAACAAAATTAGTTTGACGTAAAACAGCTCCTTAATAAATCTTGTATTGGGGATATCTATTTTTGGTATATCAATGTTGTAATTATACACATCGCAGTAGAATAACGGTCTGTCTACTCCGACATAAAGGCTAAAATCTATAGACAATATAAATGAAAAAGGATAGCAATACTGTTCTTTTCGTTCTACCATTTTACGGTATATTCGAGAGAAATCTATCAATGTCGCATTACATCGAATTTCAGAATGTTTTTCTTATTGTATTCCCACAATCTTAATGTTAAAAAAAACTTCTTTCGCTCTTTTTACCTTTTCTTACTTCTCTTGGAGGCCAACTATTTCGCTTGTCGCCAGGTTAATGTTCCCTGGATCTTTGAGATCTTTATTACTTCATAATTCTTAAAAGTAATTTTAAGATTTTTTGGTTCTACAATAGTACAAACTAGTTAAAACTGTGCATTCCATTGTAATGCAGACACGCCGTTAAGGGAAATTAGAAAGGTATTAATTTTGTACTTAGTTGATAGTCCCATTATATTATTACACAAATAAATTCAATAAAAAAAGATTATAATAAAAATGTGTAAGTACCACCAATTAGTAACTGCAGCTAGTTTTCTTGAGAGGTTTTATAGACTTCGATTTTATTCAAACCTTATTACGATGTAGTTTGTATTTTATAAGTTCAAATCGTTATGAATCTGTTCAGTTCAGGTACCGCTATCATAAACGTTCCGAATACACAGTTTCGAAATAATCCTCAAACAATGAAAAAAATATCTTTGCTAGTAAACAGAGGCGCCTATTTCGTTATTAGTATTTGATTTAGAGACATACATATGTATAAGTTCGATGGTTCGTTCTTAAAGGAAATGAAATGTCCGTACATCGATTTGGATCTATAATAAAATTAAAGTCGGAGAAAATATTTGTTTTAAACGATGGCATCGCAAAGTGACTTTGAATAAACATTAATAGAAGTAGTTTTTGTTCTATTAACATATTTAGTAAATATCAAGAAATAATACACTCTCGTTATTGTGTCGGGGGTAAAAAATAAGGAAAACAACACAATTTATTTTTGACAAAAAATCATCTTACTAGGCCATTTTTCTTTTACTGACCATTATTTTTGTACGTTGTGATAGTTTTATTGATTTTTACGCGGTAGGGTAGGTAAAAGATACAAATGATTGCTTGACAGATAACGGCTCGCTCGCCGATAGTTTTTAAACGGCTTTTGTTCGTCTGTTAACATAGAGAGCAGGTAACCAACAAACTGCCGCTTTTACACAATTTCGGGGTTCGGTTTTTTGTAGGGTTGCAACAATAGCGCAAGGGAAGACAATGTGCTCATTAACATAACAGAGCACATTGTCTGTGGCCGAGACCATTCTACTGAAGTAAAGATACCTTCGTTTAAAAGGCAGCTTAATTTGATAACACAGGAATTTATTCAGCCTTCACCACCGCGTCGTTCGTAATAGAAATCGATGAATCATTGGAGGTATGTCGTTCACAAAACCGTTGTGGGACCCAAAATGGTGCCTTGTGGCAAAACCTGAGTCATACCACCAACATTTCCTTCGCATAATATTAATGTTATACTCTATAGTATCTAGGGTGTCTGTCAGCTTGATAGCTATACTACACACATTTGTTGATGAGAATATTTGTACGATACGAGTTTTCAAGTACATTGATATCCGAATGCAGTTGCTAGTCAAAGCAATTTCATAATGTTACTTACCTAGGTGCACTTTCATTTGCGGCTCCAGCGTGTTTTACTTGATTAAATAACTTATACGTAGCGTATGTTTGTTATTCGATTACTTTTTGTAATAAACCCTCTTCGTCAGAGAGAATTGACTTAACTGAGCGCCATATTAATTAAGAAAAGTACACAACTAGAGCTTTTAACTGGATTTTTTAATGTAAACAATTTGTTATCAAGTTTTATTTTACTGGAATTTATTGTCCGACTTCACAACAAGTCCTTTGAGCGATGGTATCAACATTAGTAAGTGTTTTAACGTTTGATCTTGTCATTAAGTCAGGGTTATTTTGAAATTGGAATAGTCTAGCTGAACTTCCTTTGTCAAGTTTTATTGTTGCATAACGACATCCTACACATAATTTCAAAAGTACCTTGGACAATGTAAATTCAAATATTTATTTTTGACACAATATTACCTTAATTTCATAAGTCAAAACGAAGATAACCTAGAATTACTTACCATAATAAATGATTTCCTAAAATGAATACTTTGTATATGTCACAATAACATACATTCATCCAAAAAATGGCGATAAGAGATCTTTACTATAGAATGTGACAGCATTACATTAGTGTCATTGTGACATTAGTTTTTGTTACGTTTCATATAACAAGTCGACCTTCTCTCATCCAGGTCAGGAACTGAACTATACAATACTACAAAACCGGATTTGGTCCACAAAAGTTCACAGGTATAAGATCTATTTGAGATGATAGGTTATCTGTCTCATTTTGTCGCGATAAAGTCAAGTTATACTGGTATTCATATGAGACGCACGTGGCTATTTCAAAAGCCAGGGCTCAATTGTACCAGTTGCTTTTATGTATGGAACTAGTTGCACAGGTTGTTCTGAACTTGAACCTCCCTTCGAGTAAGCTTGAACACCTGTTTGATGATCACTTGTCCTTTAACCTGTTGCTACACATCATATCGTGTAGTCTGATAGGTAGCCGTAATATCTCTCTGAATACGTGGCGACAGGTGACAATCATGTAGATGGGAATATGGGATCGCTGAATTAATGTTCAGTAGTTTGTATTTTCGACGTCCGTTGGTAATCCGCTTGCGGTCAGAGCTTACTGGTGAATTTAATTCGATAACATAGATGCACACGATAAAATCTTTGACCTTTAAAATTAAAATCGTTCTAATACTACTATTGGTGTACAACCATCAGCGTAGATTTATTAATTATAGGCTTATTAATTATAGTTTTCAGTATTATATTACACATACCTTACAGCGGTTCTACAAATTAGTTTCGCTAAGGGTGTTACCGTGCCTAACAAGGGAAAAATGTACAACATCCGACGTAAAGCGAAGCAAATTTGCTCGCTCGCGCTTTCCGCCTCCCTCATCATCATATCATTATCATAAAAGCTTGCATCCAGGCTGACGACTACCTTTATGGAATAAATTACAAGACTGTACTCTATAATAATTCTAACACCCGGTTTCCAAAAGGCCGATTAATGTTAAAATCAATTTTAGCGTTGACAAGCCTTTCAGAAACCGGGTGTAAGAA